AAGTACTAGTACTTCGTTACTTCCCACCACTGGTCTGCGTTTCATATAATCTGTTTGTTCTTTCTTTACTGAAGTTACTTATGTTGAATAGAGAATCCAGAAATTTCACTCCAGTAAGAATAGCAATAGGTCATAATAATATAACTCAAGTTAAAGTAAAAAATTACAGGACAGTAAAACTACTAAAAGTAATTAGTAAATGTATCTAGTTCAGGGCTGAAACGATAAGTTAAATTACTCGATTGTTGTAATAATTGTCAGCTAATTTAGTAGCTAACAATTCAGTTTCCTGAAAGAACAACATACTGAAAACTGTACATTTGAGGTAAATATGTAAATTTGTAATATGTAAATATGTTTTACCCCAAATTTATAAAGTGACTGTTTCAGCTTTACCCAGCCCTACTTCACTAAAGGAATACTATGTTGTTGTATTTTCAGCAGTAAAATGCTTATTTTCTTATTTCAACGTGGAATTTAATTATTTGTTTATATGCATCTTATAATGTATTTCTAACATTGCATGAAAAGGCTGAGTGATTAGTTGGAAAAAAAATCACTTATCCTTACTAAAATAACTGGTAGTTGCAGCAGTAATCAAGTTTCTACTCTAAGTTTTGAACTGACGAGTGAAGCCTTCAGACCTGCCCGCCTGTCTGGATGCAGCCCAGGTCAAAGGTGAACAGAGGTCCAGCTTCCTGCAGACTCATAAGAACGTCTCCCTTCAGTTGCTGTGTGTTAGTTTTAGCTGGACAGACATCGTGACCCCTGCAGAGTGCATGGTGTCGACGTGTCAAAGACGGAGTCTGCGCCTTAACGTCTGTGTTTAGTGGGGTTTTTGTCTATAACATGAAGGTGTTAGTGTGCCTGATTTGGTCGGTGTGTGTGCCGTTGTGTAAGGGGCGAAGGGGATTGGTCTGCTGGTTTCTTGGCCCCCTGACCGCAGCTCCAGCTGGGGGATTATCCCACTGAGCAGATCAAGTGAGAGGGGGCGGTGGAGGAGGACCAGCAAGCCGGCCGGAGGAGCGAGGGAAGAAGTGGGAGTTGTTGGTGGGGGGGGGCGGCTGTTTTAAAACATGGCTTAGTTTAATTAACCTCCCGGATACACTGAGCGAGGCACAGAGCTGCACTCTAAAGGTTTATGGCGGCTACAAATCTCACGCTGACCTGCAGTCGCCCCGGGTCGCAGTCGCAGGTGCTTTAAAATCAGTTTAGTAAACAATGGAAATGTCGCATTAGGTAATGTTTGCTTCTTCTTCTTTTTTTTTTTTTGAAACTTTGTGGTTGTTAAAGCTGACTGTTTGAGTGGCTCATGATCTTATTTCGGGCTTTGTGAAAAACACAAAATAAATCGTTGCATAACTCTGAGTTGCTTCTGTGCAACGTTCAGAAAAGTTGGGTTAGACGAGGACAGAGGAAAACGTTTTGCTACATTTCTCCAGTGTCTCCTTTTTTTATTATTGTTCTCAGGCCACTGACAGAACTTTTGCACATTGTGTCACATTAACACAAGCTTTTATGTGTTCATTGCAACTTTATGTATTAGAGCATTACAATAAAGGAATGAATAAGGAAAATTAAGCATCGTTTTCCATGTTTTGCAAATTTAGAAAAAAAAGAAAAGTGTGTTTTGCATTTGGTTTTAGGCCTCCTGATTCAATACTTTATGGAACCACAGAGCTGAAAGTATTTCAGAGCATCTCTGTATCTGCTTTGCACATTTAGAGTTACATTTTTGATCATTTTGCTCAAGCTCAGTATAAAAAAATAATAATTTAGGTGTCATCTATCCAGAGTACCTTCTTACACAAGTTTACTGTGTCCTCTATGTTGCTGGTGGGATTATTTTTATCCCACAAAGGACAGGCTTTAGTCCCTTTTTCTCACCACTTCACAGTTACGGACTTCCTCATGCTGGTATGTCACAAAAATCCAGACAAAGCAGATTAAAATCTGTGATTGCATACGTGAATGAAAGCATGAATATTTTCATAAAGAATTGTATATCGATTATTAGATAATAGTGCAATGTTTCTAGCGATACACATTTCCTAGACAGGCTGTGTAGCTAATCAGTTAATCCTGTTTACTAGTGGTTTATGAACAGCTTTTACACTTTCTTGTGGGCCCCGTTCGTTTTTCTTTCACAACTATTTAGTGTTCACTTTGTTTTTAACTTCATGCAAACTCAATTTCTCTGTCTGCTTGAAAAGATTTAATGCACCAGCAGCAGAAATTGTAATCAACATGGATGACATGAGCTAAGCCACACCACTAATCCACCTCATTTGCTTTTGCCACTCCTCTTTAAATGTCTGCCTGGGTTCATGAGTAGAAAGTCGGGTAGAGAGGCAGTGGAGGTCAAAATGTCATTTAGGTCAAACTGTCTGTTTTTCACAGCCTCCAATACAATCAGACAGATCTGGTTTCTCAGCAGTTCCACAAAAAAACTCGACTCAAAGTCGACGTCTAGGTGATCGTCTACGAACCTTTGTCCATCTGCTTGTGTTTGATCTTCATGTCTACATGCATCTTTGCACAAAAGCTTGGAAATGTGGACAGATAACTCCTCAGCCGATGTCTCTCAGCAGCAGGAAGTGGCTGCGGGAGATCAGTTGTCTAGAGGGAAGCGTGACGGACGAGGGTCGGAAAGTGGGGGCAGACTAGGTGGATTCTGTCTCTCTGCCTGTAACACTGACTTGCTGACCAAGTCTCTGCGGTGACGTAATGCTTGCTACTTTTGCCTTTGTTGGCTTAAACGGACACGGTGTTGTCATAGTTTCACTGCGGCAGGAAAACAACCCATGACAAAGACAAACTCTGTTTGCATTGACTCATGAGTCTGACTGTCTTTTCTTCGCTGTGTCCGACCATTGTTCCCATTTGTCTCCTGTGTGCTTGTCGATAGGAAGAGGTGGAGCCGACGTCTGTCTCATTCTCTTCACCCAGAGGTTTAGGAACCGTGTGCACATCTTAAACAAACTCGTGTAGGGAAAACAGGATGGGAATCTGTTGCAAGTCCCCCTTTGTTAGCCTCCTGAGCATTTTTTTTTGAGAATATCAGAGACCCTTATGGAATACCAGTCTAAAAAGTTATTAAATAAATAATAAAAACAGAGGGAGCAGTTCAAAAAAGTTCTTGGAGAAAGTGAAACAGTGGAGCATGGCGACTCGTTCAGCTCCCCCCACCTGTTCCATCCCTCTTGTCTTACTTAATGCAGTTTTATTTTTACCACATTGAGATTCAATTCAGTTTAAAATACTTTATTGATCTCAAAGGGAAATCAAGTCTCAGTCTCTGGTGAATGAGTACTGGCCATTTTGCCCCTTTGCCATTTTGTATCTTTGCAGTTTTAGTCTCGTCTTCTGTGGCTCATTAAGTGTTTTGAAAACCAGCCCCCTGCTCTGTGCTTTACTTCATACAGGTCTGAACCCCCTGTCACTGATTGATAATCAATTGTTTCCTCAAGCCATGGACTTTATTGAGGTTTTAAATTTTACCCAATTGCCTCGGCCTTTGCTACCACTTTAACCCTAAAGTTAAATTATTTCTCCTTTTTATTGTCACCACATCCAGGCTCGTCATTGTCGCCATCTTCACCCCACCTCTGGATGTCCTACAGGCCGGCGTGCTTCTCATTAAAGCCTCTCCCTCCCTCCACCGCCGGCAGCCATCCCAACCCCAGCTCCACACCCACTCCTTGCTCTGTGGTCCTCTTCCTGACACCCCACCACGTCTGCGGAGTGGGTGCCGGCTCCCTCCCCGAGGGGTGGGAGCGAGGAGCTGGGTGATGGACTTGACAAACCCCTGGAGAACGACGCCGAGGGTGTGTGGAGCCCCGACATCGAGCAGAGCTTCCAGGAAGCCCTGGCAATTTATCCACCATGTGGCCGCAGGAAGATAATCCTCTCTGATGAGGGCAAGATGTACGGTACGCCCATCTCTATTGTCATCATCCCTTGTTTCTTTCACTCTTTTTAAAGGAACATGATACAAATGCACATTAAGGGATAATTATGCATCTCCAGCAAATCAGGAAGTACTTGATTTAAATCTCCTTCAATAGTTTAGGATGTAAGAATCTATCAAACAAAGTACACTTACCTGTTTGTGTAGCCATTGAAATAACGAAAGTACATTTTTTCCACTGGACATTTCAGTAATCATGTCATTCTCATACATCCTCCTTTAACGACACATCAGTTTGCTACAAGTGCCTCTCAGTAACTTTGATGACAACCATCACAGTTTGTGTGGACGAAAACAAAAATCCTTTACCAAACACTTCTGGATATGGTCAAACTGCCCTCACTGATTGCTTCGTATTCAGTTTTTTTTTACATACAATAATGTCTCCGTATGTTTATGAGTCACATCCCTCATGTTTCCTTTGCAGCTGTTGAGCTGAAGTTCCTACAATCCTCAGTTTGATGGTTTGATATGTCACTCCTTCCTAGAGGTTTAACATTGCAACTTTCGCAAGACTGGAACAAGATTTTAGCCGCTTTTTGGGGGAAAACCTGAGTCCAAATTTTCATTCTTTTCTTAGTTGACACTTGACAAGTTTATTAAAATTGGAAGTGGGGAGTGTAGCAATATTTTTGGGAAAACCAAGCATCCCAACTTTTTTGTTTTGTTTTATTTTCACAAATAGATAAGAGGTTCCACAATTTGTGTTTCACTGAATCTGTAACCGCTGTCGAATAATCCAGTCCAATCTTGAGTGATTCAAATGTATTGATTTTTAATCCTTGACCCTTGTGTTTACAAATGGGGTCCAACCGACACCACACCCATATCACTTGTATCGTTTGCCTCAGTCCTCGTACGCACAAGGGTTAAAGATTTAAGAGTTACTACTCAGTATAGATTTGTCCAGTTTAGATTTGATTAACCAAAGCATGTACAGTTTTGAACTAGAGATGATTAAGTGTAATGCACACTCATGAAAAATTGTGAAATTTCTTCTTAGCTTAGCAGTGACTAGAAGCTACAGAGCAGATGCTAAAGTTAGCGCTGTTAGCTGCTATTAGTCGTCAGTGATGCTCCTCTCAGTGCTTAAGATCAATTGTATCATGTCCACCCCTCTGTCACTGCTACTTTTTTGTACAGAATAGCCAAAATGGTGCCAGATAAATGATTTACAAGCAGAGGAGACTTCTTCAATGCTTTTATAACATTGTAACATTTGCGATAGAGTATTGTTTGCTAGCCAAATGAAGGTCTGTTTTAGTTGACTGTCAACAAAACAAAGCAACTTGAGAACTACTTTCTTTCTTGCTTAAGAAGAAAGAAAGTACCTCTCTTTCAAATAGATGTGTCTATTTTGAAAAGTCTTCAAAACAAATACAACAGACTAAAGGACTTACTTCCACCTGCAGGGTTCATAATTATAGCTTTTACTTACTTCACAAGGCAAGGTCACATCCCAACAAGTCTTTGATAAACTTTGCAAAAAAGTGTTCGCTTACATGTTTATTAACATAGTAAGATTTAGCACCACTTAGAGTTCAATCTTCTATCAGAAATATTTCTTGTTAGCTGCAGAACTTTGCTGAAAGATGTTTGGTGACAGATGGTTTGGCCGGAGAGAGGCCTTCTGCCTGACCATTTGATAATGGATCTGCTTGGTGGAAAACTGGGTGGACGCAGGCGGTGGCGCTTTCAGACGGCGTCTGTCATCGCCTAGTTTTGTCACTGTGCCAGACAGCTCCTTTAACTCTTAGCTTAGCCTAGCCTAGCGTAGCTGTCGATTGAGGTCACGGCCGTTCCCTGATCAACACTTAAACCCTTATAAAGCCTTTAATAATAGTTGGTGGGGGAGGCGAAAGGAGGGAGGGGCAGGTGTCTTACTCTTGGTCACGGGGATTCGGTGGGGCGGTGCTCGTTGGGCGACGTTGTTCGGGTTTTGACAAGGAAGGTATTGAGGTACCCCTTCCTCTCTGTGGGGATCAGAGGCAGGTGATGTGCACCCGGGAGCATGATGGCTTGTCAGGAATGGCATGTGTGCATGGAAGCCCGGGGGTTCAAGGCAACTTGGCTGTAACCCTAAACCAGAATAGACGTTTACCCTTTGAGCGCCTGGAGGGGAGGATGAGGAGTGAACGAATAAACACCAAGGTGGCCAGTGATGTTTTGCAGAGCCTCAGAGCATGCTAGAGCTCTCTCACACCTGTCCCCATGTTGCAGAAGGGGAGAATTGAAATTTGTGTGTTCTGTTGCACTCCTTTGTTCAGGGTGTCCTTGATTCACTGCCACCCGTGTGTCTTTGTCTCAGGCAGTTCTCTTTGTCCTTCACGAGAAACGTCTTCTGTCTGTCAGTGCGTCTGCTGGCTGGTCCGCCTCTCAGTTCGCCTCCAGCTGCTCCCTGAGTTCAACCCGACAGCCTTGTGACAAATCCAGATTTATGACTTGAGAAAAAGACTAGACCGAGGCCGTGCTTGGCCTGCTTTACCCCCGTTGCCCTCAAACAGCCACGCAGGGCCTTCCTTTTCAGTCCACTCAGCCCCGGGAGCTCTCACTCTTATCGCCATCCCATCCCTGCGGTCACTTTTGGTCAACAGCTCAAGTCATTCAGGCAACCACAATCGAGGCAAAGCCTCTTTGGAGGTCTTTATTGTTGTTAATGTTGTTAAAGTGCTGATGGGTGGTATTAAATCAGGTGCCCAAATCAAATATCTGCTAAGAATATCTTGAAAGGCATTCCTGAAATTGCTAAGAGATGACATGGTGGTTTTAGAAATGTCATTGAGTCTTCTTGCACAGTCTAAATGTGGATTCATAGACAAAACAAACCAAGAGACGTGTCTGTCGACTGAGAGTGGCATACTCTGAGTTTAAGGCTAAATTCCATCAAGAGACACAATCGCCATTCCTTCCTAAGCTACATGATGCCGAGTCCCAAACCAACCAAAACCAAAGAATGTGTTTAGCTCACATTGTGCGTTGAAAGAAATTTTGAATGCTTTAGTCCACATTCTGCACGAACGCTCCACATTTTTATGCAGAACCCTCGGGGTTTCGCTCACCCGGACGACCATTGCTCAACAGACCTTTTAGCTTGCTTATTAGGGAGGGTGTCATGGATATTGTGGCGCTTATGTGGACCAGTAGTAATTCGACATGCATCTGCCAAGAAAAACATTTCCTGCCTTGTGTTGCTCCGGGCCAGAGAGACGTGTTGTGGTGAAAGGGTTTCATGCTGCAAGCGGTGGAGGAAAAGTCCCAAACTTGTGCCCGTGTGTTGACAGCTCCATGCAGAAGAATGCAGCCCTGGAAATATAATTATCTTCTCTGTTCATTTGCTGTCATATATCTGCCAGTTTGATTTGTGAGTCACTTTTGCAATTGTAATTATTTTATTTTATGCCTATTTAATATGTTTTTTGATTTAGCTGCATTTGCTCTTGCCTCACAGCATTTTTTTTTTGTGCAGCTGCCTGGTTTTGTCTCTCTGGATTTCCAAACGTCTGTATGACAAATGTTTTTCTCACATTTTAATGTATCTGACTTTCTGGAGGGGCGGGGGGAGACAGAACGGCAGTGTTAGAAGAGTAAATAGAGCTCCATTTTGTAAGAGAAACATAAAATGTTTTTATTGACAACATAATGAATTATTCTCTCGTTGAGGTTTGGTTGGGAAACATTTCATCCTGTTGACGATTTTAGTCGCGAAAGACTAATATGCTTCAGGCGCAAGCCGTCCTTATTGAGAATATGATGAGAAGGTCAGCGGAAAGCAAAAACGAGTCTTCACTCAGGTTCAAAGTTTGGCAGTAAATTGAGAGATTCACCAGCCACTTTGACCCATGAAGCCTCGAGGCACGCTTGGAAAATGACACTTCTAGAAAACACTGAACTGTAAAGGTGTGTGAGTTTGAGCCGTTGAAATGGCCACAGATTCTGAATTGAATGAAGGTCTGTACTTTGACTGGGCCACAGGCATGCTTTGATGTAAACCATTTGGCTGAGTCTTTAGCACTCTCGTTCTGACGGAGGACGGATCTCCAGCCTCAAAGGGTTTTATCTCCCTCCATCAATGATCCCATCAAATCTGTCCAGCTTCCTTGTTCCTGCTGAAGAAAATTATTCCCTCAACATAATTCTGCCACCACCGTGTACCAGAGTGGATATGGTCTGTTCCTGGTGATGTGCAGTGTTTGCTTTGTATCGTGCATTACGTTTTCTCATTCAGTCAAAAAGGTTCATTTTTGTTCTCATCCAGCCAGGCCTCTTCTTTCACAACTTCGTTCACTGAAAAGGTTAAATGGCACTTTTATTTGTCTTTTTCCTTCCCACTGTAGATTAAGAAGTCCAATAAATTTCCAGTCAATAGGTAATCCCACCTGAGCCACGGCTCTCCGTTGCTCATCCAGAGTCTCCACAGGTCACTTGGCTGCTTCTCCGTCTAAAGCTCTCCTTGCCAAGACTTGACAATTTAGTTGGACAGGATTGTATCGGTATATTCATTATTGTGCCATTTACTGTTTACTAATTACTAGTACATTACTTTTAAAGCCATTTGGTTAAATTGATTTTTATTGTTGGAATAATAGTTTAGATGGATACTTTTCACTTTTCACATTTTTATTTGGTAAGAAAGTTGAAGACAATGTGTAAGTTTCTTTCCACTTTACAGTTATGTGCCGGTTTGTGTTGGTTTATTGTGTAAGATTCCAACAAAACGAAAGTTTGTTAAGTATTAAAAGAAAGAAACTGAAAGGTGTTTTTGCAGTGCGCTTTAGGTGAGTCACTGCATCCAATGCGACATACTTTGCCAAATGTAAGTTAAACATTTTATTTTGCGGTGGCACAGAGATCAATGTCGGTATTATTAATTAATTAATTATTATTATTATTTTCTGACAATGCCAGAAAATAATACTGCTGTTATGGCTGATAACCAATGTCTGCCAATATTATGTCAACACC